CTCCATTTGTCACAATATTAAGGGAGTATTCAAATGTTAAAATTTAGCAAATTAGGGCTTCCCTGGTGGCGCAGTGGTTGAGAGTCCGCCTGCAGATGCAGGGGACGCGGGTTCGTGCCCCAGTCCGGGAGGATCCCATGTGCTGCGGAGCGGCTGGGCCCGTGAGCCATGGCCACTGAGCCTGTGCGTCCGGAGCCTGTGCTCCGCAACGGGAGAGGCCACAACAGTGAGAGGCCCGCGTACCGAAAAAAAAAAAAAAAAATTAGCAAATTAGTAATTTTTTACAGCTTTACCAAAGGCGTTCTTAAATGAAACTGTTTTTTTTTTTAGAGTGCATGACGGTGAATAATATAATGACCACTAGCTTTGATTCAAACTAGAGCACCAGCAGTTTTATCCACTATTGCTTTTACCCGATCAGTGCAAATGTCAGCACAATATAAAAGGCAAATAAAGTCTAATTACTATTAAGAAACTTTTTGACCTTATAGACCCACTAAAAATATCTTAGAGACCTCCTGAGGTCTACCAACCACATGTGGACAGCATCTGATTTGAACTAGTTGGCAGATAATAAACGTACAATTTTCAACTAATTTTAGTAGTAAAGAAAAATTCAGCATCACAAAGTCACACACACAAACACACACTATGGTCTAGTGTAACAAACATAGATGCAAGTTTCCTATGATAAATATTAACAGGTAAATCCACAAGTATAATCAAAAGAAAAGTATGCCCAAATGAGGTTTATTCTGAAGAATGCTAATACATTAATTTATTCATGGGATTATTATACTAAACAAAGAAAAAACATATCCTTATCACAACTAATTGAGGAAGAATCTATAACACTAAATACTCCTTCCTCAAAAACGTGCTTCAGAATAAAACTTAATATCATTAATTTGAAGAAACTTTCTACCAGTAATTTATAAGAAATTTAATACATAATAGTGAATCATTAGAAGTAGATCCATTATATTTGACAATAAAGAAAAATGTCGCGCTTGGAATACAGTAGTGGAATAACTAAGAGAAAAATAATAGTCTTTATTTTTTAAAAGTCAATAAATAGAGAATGAAATTAAAAAGGCAAATTTACTACACTCTTAAGAAAATAAAAACTATGTAACAAATAGGAATAAAGTTAATAAGTTCTTTCCAGTACTTCAAAGGTATAAATGATTTAACAAAACTGAAAGACACATGGAAATTGGAATAAATAGATAGCTATTTCTTTTAAAGTCAAACTACATCCAATTCATTCTTTATTAAATCCCCACCAACATGCCCCTTTTAACCCAAATTGAACTACTCTTCTGCAAAAGCAGATCCTAAATTTCATCTAGAAATAAAAATTAACCAAGTGCATGAATATTTTAATAATTTGGAACAGTAATCATCCATAGCAAATTAAATACACACACACACACACACACACACACACACCAGGTGGTATTGGCAAAAGAACAACAACAACAAAATAACAAAGTGAATAGATAGTCTATGGCTTGATTATTGCTGCATCACCAGCACATAGAATAGTGTCTGATACATACTCCACACTCATCAAATACTTATTGATTGAATGAATGCATGTATAATGTAATTATCTTTATAATAACACAGGATGTGTGTGAGTGGGTGAAGATTGACTCTGGTAGATTTAGAATACCCCATTAGGAATAAAGTTACTTGGAAGGTTTATTCAAAAGTTTTTCTAAAAGAGAACTAAGGAAGAATACAAAAGGACTTTTTGATTTTTCAGTATTTTTATAAATTGTACTCCATTTAAAGTTATTAAAAAATAATGGCTATATTTCTTTATGCTATGCAATATATCCTTGTTGCTTATTTATTTTATACATAGTAGTTTGTGTCCCTTAATCCCCCTATCTTGCCCCTCCTCCCCTTCCTTTTCCCAGCTGGTGACCACTAGTTTGTTCTCTGTATCTGTGAGTATGTTTCTGTTTTATGTACATTTGTTTGTTTTCTTTTAGATTCTTGTAGATAACTACAAAGGAACTTTTTAGAAAAAGAATTGACTTGGGGGTAATTTTGCATTACAAAATATTAGAACATACTGCAAGGCTGTTTAATTTCATTCACTGTGGTACTGGGCAATCTATACATCTCTATCTATTTATATATCAGCATTTATATCTATCAATTGATTTAACTCTCTAAATATGTAAAAGTTATATAGAGGGCTTCCCTGGTGGCGCAGTGGTTGAGAGTCCGCCTGCCGATGCAGGGGACACGGGTTCGTGCCCCGGTTCGGGAAGATCCCATATGCCGCGGAGCGGCTGGGCCTGTGAGCCATGGCCGCTGAGCTTGCGCTCCGCAATGGGAGAGGCCACAACAGTGAGAGGCCCACGTACCGCAAAAAAAAAAAAAAAAAAGTTAGATAGATATATGACATTTTATTTCCAGGGTGGAAATAGTTAATGTCATAAGGGTTTATCTATAAATCCAAAGCATTCCGTATGAGTAAGGGAGAAATAATCCTTGACATGTAGGATCTGACCTGTTATCAGCTGGGCCTCTGTGTTGCTAAGAGCTGGCCTGGCATTCACAGACAGGCTGCAATGTTCTCCTTTTGAAAATAAACAATTGTATACAAGGTCAACATCTGTAACCATAATGGATGAAGGAAAAAATGCAAGGCCACTCTTTAAGCAAGGGCATTCACTTTATGTCTGAGGACGGTAAAACCTGAAAATTGTCCAAGTCACAATAATGACCAAACACTGTCCTTTCCTGGCTAATAGGAGTAATTCCTTTACCAATTTCAACCCTAGCATCAGTACCGTCTTTCTTCGTCTAGATAAGAATTATTAAAATACCCAACTATAGATGAACCCCTGGTTTCTGACAGTATCTAGTCTAGCAAAGTCTAGATTCCTTAAACCCTCCCCAAATCACCTAAAAGGAGCCCAAATTCTATAATTAGATCCTTTCACTGAGGTATATACAGTTCCCCATGGTGTGTGTTTTCCTTTCCGGAAACTAGTAATAAATGCAACTTTTTCAACTCAGATGTGTTCCAGGTAGTTTTTGGCAGAATGGCATTCACACCTATGTCTTCATAAATATACCCCATTTTACACAAGTGGAAGCTCTGTTTTTGCACTGACCCACACACATGCAGGTGTGTACATTTATTTGTTCCTGTGTTCACAAATAAGGTGACTAGTAATAAATACTGGAGTAAATACTCCACAAAATATAGAGGAATACATTTCAAAAAAAAATCTATAAGTTTTAAAAAGCAATAAAATAAAAGTATTGATAATATTTTATAGTCTTGGCATAATGGAGGTCTTGGTGATGACCCCATAGTCATAAAGGAAGAAGAATGTTACAAATTACAGAAAATGACAGACACCACGAATAAGATCAACAATAGACTGCAAAGAAATGTTATCAACATATAGAAGAGAAAAAAGGTGATTGGAGATTATAAGAAAGCTGCTCCTACTATTTAAAGGGAAAAGAGGAAAACAAACAAAAATCCCTATGCAAAATGGTGGAAATTGTGCGGTGATTATTTAATTCATAAATAAAATTGTACAAAATGCAAATTCATGTTCAAACGCACTAGTAATCAGAGAAATAATAAAAAATGAGACACCATTTCCCAGTTACCTTGTTATAAATTAAACTGATTGCTCATAATAAGTCTTGATAAACGTGTTTGGGCTTGCATCCTGGTTTACTTTTCATGAAAGAATATATACACACACATCCACTCATATAGTGATATTGGACTTTGGAACATGAAACACTGAAATATACACAGTGATTACCCCTGGAGAATCTGTGGGGCATAACCACAGCTTCAACTTTTGCTCCATATATTCTATGTTATTTCTATAATGGGAATATTTATAAATACATAGCTATTCACATAAACGTGAAAAATTGGAAACATTTGGAAAATTTTAAATGAAGAAGAATCTTACCTTCTATTAAGGACAATATCTTTGAAACAGATTTTTGAGAAAATGGAAAATATTTGATTTTAAAAAGTTTTAAGAATACAAAAATATTAAAGAATTATATAAATGCAATGTATTTACATGAAAAAAATATTTGGTTTGGGGCTTCCCTGGTGGTGCAGTGGTTGAGAATCTGCCTGCTAATGCAGGGGACACGGGTTCGAGCCCTGGTCTGGGAGGATCCCACATGCCGCGGAGCAACTAGGCCCGTGAGCCACAACTACTGAGCCTGCGCGTCTGGAGCCTGTGCTCCGCAACAAGAGAGGCCGCGTTAGTGAGAGGCCCGTGCACCGCGATGAAGAGTGGCCCCCGCTTGCCACAGCTAGAGAAAGCCCTCGCACAGAAACGAAGACCCAACACAGCAAAAATTAATTAATTAATTAATAAACTCCTACCCCCAATATCTTAAAAAAAAATTTGGTTTGTTAACTTTATTTAAATTATCACCTAATTTGAGTAACAGCTAACTGCCGTTTACCTTGTAAAAATACATATGTAGACATATCCTTTTTTAATTTCCATTGTAGTAAAACATGGCACATGATTACTATATTAAATGCATTTTTATTATATATATTGCCTAACTCTACTTTAGCTTTATTTATTCACAAAGAGAAACTTTACTAAACAAATCACTAAAAAGACAATTGGGGTTAGTTTTCTCTTAGGAATTCAGATGATATATTTCCATGTTGGCAATTTATGAATTAATTACCAAATATTTTCGGTAGTAAATGTAAATGATCAACTACTATTTTATTTTATTTATTTTCTATTTTTTTTCAATCAACTACTATTTTAGATGTTATTTATTTAGTTCTTACAGTTGTATGTGCCTTTGGGTATTCTAGAAATAGTAAAATAGTAAAGCTTCACTGAATATAAGTATATTGTGTAGTTGAAAAGTTGAACACAAGAGAGTATTAAGTAGACGCTGAGAAACAAGAACTGTTAAGTGGTTGAACTAAAATAGCATTTCTTCTTATGAAATTTTAGGATTGTCAGTTTAAGGACTGCTGTGATTATAATACATGTAAACTGAAAGGCTCAGTAAAATGTGGTTCTGGATCATGCTGTACATCAAAATGTGAGGTAAGTTTCCAACATTTATGTTGGAAATTGAACTGTGATAATAGAAGGCTATATTAATTGAATTGATAGAAGGACTCTAGAAACAATTCAGGGGAACAAAGTAAAGAGTGCATAAACAACCACAGGTATATAAGGATACCTACGATGAGATAGAGAAGGCATCTCAGATTAGTACTGATTATTCTATTATGTTGAAACCACAGTTTACCATCTTCTAATTTATCAGATAAAGAGTAGAATAAACATATACACTGCTATACAAAAAAAAAAAAAATCAACTCTCCATGCAATTGTAAAGTAAAATAAATGGTAAATGACTAACTAAAAAGATGTAACATGTATAGCCAACAAAATGTGTAGCATAGAGAATATGCAAAGAACCCTCACACATTAATAAGTAAAAGTCGAATCACACACCACACACACACACACACACACACACACGCACACAGGCAAAGGGAGTGCCCAGGCAATTTACAACAATGAAAAGTAGAATTGCTCAATGTGTTCACTGATCGTCTGCAGTAATTAAGATAAACATAAATAAAAATGATAACGCAGTATCATCCAAATGGCAATCTTAAAAACAACAATGCCAGATATTGTCTAAGAAATGGGGATAGAGCTCTTATCTGCACAGTGTTTGTGGAATTTTGAATTGTTATAATCCCTTTCCTGAGCAATTTTTGCATAGCTTTGAATAGAGTATAAATTATCAAGTTAATTCATCATCATGAGTTTCTCTCTTACGTATATACCCTAGAAACATGACCATGTGTGGAAAGCTCAGGAAAAATATATTAATTTCAGGATTATTTGCAATAGCAAACCATAAAGGCAAACTTAATATTTACTGGTATTGGAATGATTACATAAATTATTGTATATTGTACAAGAGTTAATAAATGCAGGCTAAATTGCATGCAATAATATGATATTACCTTCGGGGGCTTCCCTGGTGGCGCAGTGGTTGAGAGTCCACCTGCTGATGCAGGGGACACGGGTTCGTGCCCCGGTCCGGGAGGATCCCACATGCCGCGGAGCGGCTGGGCTCGTGAGCCATGGCCGCTGGGCCTGCGCGTCTGGAGCCTGTGCTCCGCAATGGGAGAGGCCACAGCAATGAGAGGCCCGCGTACCACAAAAAAAAATATATATATATATATATGATATGATCTTCAAGACATATGTTTGGATAAGAAATCAAGTTCCATAATGCAAAATATTTTAATTCCAGTTCTAGTAAATTTTTCAAATCCTTTTCCCATTTAGGTTAGTATAGAATATTGAGCAGAGTTCCCTGTGCTATACAGTAGGTCCTTGTTGGTTATCTATTTTAAATATAGTAGTGTGTATGAAACCCGCTAGTTTGTCTCCTGGGTCTCTCCAAGAAGAAAATGGTAGAGGCAATGTTGCTCCAATTTTGAGGAACAAGTATGTTTAAACTAATCTGTGTAGTCTCCCTCCAAATGCTGGTTAGTCTGACGGCCTCTCAATGTAGAACACAGAGCTCTGTTGGAGGGGTCCTTTTGTCCTTTGAGACAGTTACTTTTCTTCAGGCTTCATCATGAATACCGCACCTGCCTTTTCCTACTCAGCCTTCGGTCTCTGTTATTCCCTCAGGTATCAATAATCAGACACATCTCATTTTCTCTTCAGTAAGTAATTGAGAATAGCCATTCACGGAACATGATTTTCATTTTCCTCCTAGATATCAGCAGCAGGCACTCCCTGTAGAAAAAGTGTTGATCAAGAGTGTGATTTTACCGAGTATTGCAATGGGACTTCCAGTGATTGCATTCCTGACACGTATGCCATGAACGGCCAGTTGTGCAGGTTGGGAACTGCATACTGTTACAATGGACGATGCCAAACTACCGATAACCAGTGTGCCAAGATATTTGGAAAAGGTATCGCTCTTTCTTATATATTTCTCTTTTTCTTGTCTTTGATGAAGCAGTAGAAATTAGTAATTTTATTAGGCCTCAGTTCTGAGTACATCTCATCGTCTTAATGTTCTGCATGATAGGTGGGAAGGATACATAAAGCGCTTCTGTTGCGTACGGGAGGACGTGGGAAAGCACCTGTGCAGTTGGTTGATTTGTGAGCTGAACTAGCCACTTGTGTCATGGAACACCATTTTTACTTAAAATCATAATTGAGACAAACTATGTTTATAAGAGTTGGGTGTTTGGCAGACACTTTATCAAAAATGAGTGAGGTGAGCCTGTGACTTCAAGGAAAACAACTGGCAGAATTTGTTGCCAAGGGTAAAACTCAGACTTTCAACTAAAAATTTGAGTTTTAGAAACATTATCTTCCACTGTGACTTGACAGTTTTCCAACACAAAGTTAAGTGTTAAAATTAAAATTAAAATTAGTATTAATATGATCATTACCTTGAACTCTTTATCAAGAAGGCTGCTTATCTCCACTTAGTTTTGTTCTTCTTCTGGGGGAACATATTCCTTCTTTGCCTCATTTTGCCTGATTCTCTGTTTTTATTTCTATGTATTAGGTGGGTTGGTTACATTTTGTCACACACTTTCTCTGGGGCCCAGCAGCACACTCCCTTCTGTTCTCCAGAGCTGTATGCTCAAAGGGTACCCTCTGGGTGGACTGCAAGGCCTGTGGGGTCCTGGGTCTGGCGTTGGCCCCCTGATGGGAGGTGCCAGGTCCCAGGGCACCTGGGCGGAGGCTTGGAGGGGCCTGTCTTACATATTTCTTTTGCCTTAAATTTGGATCCCTCTGTAGGAAATAATACATATCACACAACTCTAGAAGTGGAAAAACTTGAATCACAAGGTCAATAAAGATTAACTTGGAATGAAAAAAGGTTAGTTTTTGTAGGAGTGTTTCAGATTTTCCAGGATAATATTGTACATTCCTTTCCTCATGATTTGATTTTTGGTTTTAGCTACCTGGGCAAAAATCCATGTTTACAGCTCAAATTAGGAGCTGTATTTATGTATATAGAGATTGGAATGGCAAGTCAGTAGATTCTGAAAGTTTACTTCATTTCCTTTTATTTTACACATTCATAATCTAATTTTAATGGCCTGAAACTTTAAAAGTTCAGAGTGAATTTCATTCACATATAATCATATTTCCTCACGGAAGAACTGCTAGGATAACAGTAGTCTTAGGCAACTGATCAAAATTCATTTTTATATTTTGCTTTTTAAACAGTTTTTGAGACTGACTCGAAAGCTCATGCATATATGCTTGCTTTTTAGACAGTCATTATTGATAATACTCCAACATGATTTTGTATTTTTAGAAGAATTAAATTAAATTTGAATAGATCAAAATTACTGACGTTCAAATATAATCATTTGCTAATTGAGTAAAGGTAGTATAACACCAAATTTCAGTTATTTGCCCAGCTGTAATACAAGGTTCATAGTCTGTACCAAATACATGGTATGTGATTCGTATCGTCTTTCTAATTATTTGAAACTTGTCTTTAGTAACAAGTTTCAGATTAAGTTGACTTAACCAAATTTCAGCCAGAGCTGCAGAGCTATGATCTCTCATAAATGACAGGTCAGTGCGATTTTCTGTATGCTGTGCTTTTAGGATGTTACTTTTTATTTGGTTGTTTCTTGTTTTTTGCTTTTTCGATGCTCATTTGTATTTGAAAATGTTATTTGTCTTTGCCAGTTTTCAGAACCATTGACTGAATGGGCACTAAAAGGCCCAGAAGGAAAACCACACAACACTTTGGCAAATATACATGTGAACAGTTCTCCTAGTGCACCCCCACATGGGACCGACAACCATTTAATCAGGGGTTTGTTCACTGGGGAAAGGGAAATAACCAAGCATTTTGGAAACTGGTGGACAAGGTCCGATTTGGCATGTGTACCTGGAAACCCAGTTTCATCATGGTCTCTCTGTGAGAGCAGGGACTTTGAGGGGTCCGAGAACAAATAAAGTCTGTGCCAAGTTTCAGTTTATAATGGGTCCACCAGGTCCACAAATCCGTTTGGTAATCCTTTCTCAGTCCTAGAGTGTATCATTGGGGTTGACATGATGGTAGTTTGTGCAGTGCCATCATTAGCTCCTTGGTCTGTTTGGTAAGGCCACGGAGATAGCCTTTCCAGGAGTTATTGCTTCCCTTAAAGATCTAAAGGATGCAGACGTGGTTGGCTATATAATGTCTACATTTAATGACCCAGTTGGGTCATTAAGTTGACCCTGCAGAAACCAGATGGTCCCTGGAAGATAATAGTAATCTATTGCAAATGCAGGCAAGTAGTAGATTAAGTAACGCACCCACGCTGCCGGTGTGGTGTCTGTGCTGGAGCAGATCAGCGTGACCTCCACTATGTGGTAGGAGCATAGCCATTGATTTGGCAGATATATTCTTTCCTATTCCTATCTGAAAAGAGAATTAGAAACAGTTTGCATTCACATGGAATTCACATGTCTTTAATTTAGGGTTTTGCTCCAGGGCTGTGTTTACTCTCTCCTGCCTTCAGTCATAATGTAGTTGAAGAGATTTGGACATCCCAGAAAATGTCACTTTGATCCACCTTATCATTGATTCTTGTATTAACCCGGCCAAATAAGCAAAGTGTAGCTAGAATGTTGGAGGACTAAGTAAGATGCATGTACTACGAGGGGCAGGAGATAAGACTCAAGAAATATTTAGGAACCCATCACATCAGTAAAATTTTAGGAGTCCAGTGATCAGAGGCATGACCTGACACCCTCTACAAAGTAGAAGACAAACTGTATGTATCTTGCATTTCATATGACAGAGAAACAAGTCCAGTGCCTGGTAGGCCTCTGTGGGTTCTAGAGGCAGTAGATGGGGAAGTGCCGCTTGATTCCATTTACCGGTTGGCCTGAAACATTGCTAAAATCGAGGGAGGTAAAAACAGGAAAGGCCTCTGCAGCATATCCAAGCTGCAGTGCAGACAGCCCTGCATTTTTAATCATAAAACAGAGAAATCCAATACCAGAAGTGTGGGTTATGAGAAAAAGAAAAATGCCGTGTGGGGCTTCTACCAGGCCTCTCGGGAGAATAACAATGCAGTTCCCTGGGGTTCTAGAGCAGAGCTGTGCCGTCTAAACTGGAAAATTATACCAATTTGACAGAACAGCTCTGGGCACACTACTGGCCCCTGTAGAGGTAAAAAACCTGGTTTTCGGACATCAAGTGACCAATTGTTGAGAACTATGCATCGTAAGCTCAGTTATGTCAAATCCACTGAGTTAGATGGTTCAATAGGTAGAAGTCATTCGTTCATCTGGATTCAAGCTCAGGAAAAAGAGAGGGCAGAAGACAAATTCATGAACAGGAAATCTAGATCAGTATGTCTTTCTACCCTCTTCCACCTTTGCTTCTTCCTCGGCTCTGACCAGCAGATACATGGGCTCTCATTATGAGCAGCAGACGCAGGAGGAACAAGCCCAGCCTTGTTTATACAGGTGTGTTGGCTCAGTACTGGTTATAAGTTGAAAAAAGACAGTAGCCACACTGCAGCCTCACTTGGGAGGATGCCTTAAAAGATTTTGACCACGTGATCATCCATTTCCCATGAAGGAGAAATGGCCAGAGTTTGGATTAGAGGGGTACCCATGGACAGTGACAAAGGGCCAAGCAGGCCGGTGGGAAGCCTGGATGTTGGAAGATTGGAAGATTAGAGCCAAGAGTTCTGGGATAGAAGTAAGTGGATAGACACGTGGACATGAACAAAAAATGTGAAGATCTTTGTATTAATCCACCAGGTTAATACCCACCAGAGAAGCACCCACCATGGATTAGACACAGAACAATCACATCGACACAATGACTTAGCCAGGTTACAGCAGCCAGCATCCGTCATCCTCCAACCCAATGCCTGTAGGGGGGACACATTTCTGAACTTTCTCTATTTCTTTTTATTACCGTTTCTGAAATAACTGATTCTTATCTGAGTTTCCCTTATCTCTCTCTTGAGTATTTGTACCATCTGGTCACATTCAGCCAAGAGTAACCAAGACACATTCTCCAGAAGTTTCCGCATTGCACAGCGAGCATTACTCTCCTTCTTGCCCCCTGCTGCCAGGCTTCAACTACAATGCCACATTTTAGGCATATTTTGCAGTAGAATTACACATCTACATACCAATTCCTGTGTTTGTTGAAATGGAAATGAACCTCAAACCTCTGCGATTTCCATATCTAATACACTTACTCTTCACTATGACACCCAGACTGACTGATGAGCCTCTACTTGAAACATTGCTTGTCCCCCATCAGAGAAGAAAAAGAGAATATGGCACTCAATCTACTAGTTCTGACGGTTTTGCCCCAACTGACATCTCAAATCTCTCATTTCATTAAGCAGAGCAAGTTACAAGGTCAAGCCTGACGTACATTGGACTAGGAAGGATGCATTCCCACAGGGAGGGGTCAGCAAATTATTTTTAACCATAACATAATTTACTACAATAGATATAATAATTTTCTATTTTCTGTCAGATAAGACAATTGTTTCTTTCCACTTGCATTGACAGGGAACACACAGGGAAAAAAAAAAAAAAAAAATAGCATGATCAAGACCATGACTTTTTTTGCTTATGCAATGAGTTTCATTAGTATTTTATCGACAAATGTTTTATTGGCATCGAGAATAATAATTTAGGACATGTTTTCATTTTAAGGTGCTCAAGGTGCTCCATTTGCCTGTTTTGAAGAAGTTAATTCTCTGCGTAATAGTCTTGGAAACTGTGGTTTTAAAAACTCCCAACCATTACCTTGTGAACAGAAGTATGTATATAGAAAATGATTGTTTCATTGAGTTATAAAAATTATATATTTCTTGTCAAGAGACACTAAATAGTAATGGACGTAAATCGTATATCTGGAGAATATTTTCAAATAACATTATGTGTATTTTCCTTCTATGCAACTCAGTTCTCCTTTTTCTTATTTTTTTCCCTACTAGTGTGTTAGTAAGGAGACTAGACTAAGAGAAATTTAATGTTTCTTACTGAAGGTAGAAAGTGGGCTCAGTGCAGAGGGAACAGATGAAATCACCCATCTCCTAGTCTTTCCCTGAAAGGCTTCCATCTGCATACTAAGAAAGTTGCTACCTGAAGGTTAGGTTTCTAAGTTAGCACACATCTAGGAGCTGACTGCAGTCTTCCCCAGAGACTCGAGAAACTGATAGACACTTTCCCTGCAATCTCTTTGTAGCCCACTCCAAGTCACCACTATCTCCCTATAAAGAACTTGTACACATTTCTACACCCCAGCTTTTGCACTGCTGCCTGAGGGTCAGATCCCCAAGTCATCTTACTCTGATAGCCAAAGGGACTTCCATTCATAGATATGCCCTCAGGGTTCAGCACAGAAGGAGCAGACAAAAATGCCCATCTCCAGTCTTACCTGGAAAGGGGTCTGTGTGCATGCTTTAAAAGCTATTGACTGAGAATCAGCCTTCTAATTTAAAAAGCTTCTAAGGCCTGCCTTTGAGCCTGCCCAGGGACCAGGAATGCCAGCAGCCTCCTCCTCCAGCATCTCCCTGTAGCCTAATTCAAATCACCAGTATCTTCTGCTGGAAGCTTGTACACATGTCTGCACCACAGCTTTTGCAGTTAACACCCAAGAAACAGGCTTCCAGACAGGTTGGCACTGTTAATCAATGGCACTTCCATTAATGAGTCCCATTTATTGTAGAAATCAAATAAGCACTTCTTAATGGACACAGGAACACCCCTACACATACACACTCTGCTGCTGTACCCCCAGGCCCGGTACATAAGAAGCAGGCAAAAATGCCCATTACCCAGTTTTTCCCTGTAGGGAGAAATACTGGAGTATACTATATGTACTATACAGACAATCTGAACAGACCAATAGCAAATAAGGTGTTTGAACTGGCAATTGAAAACCTCCCAACAAACAAGTCCGCTGGGGAATTCTACCGAACATTTAAAAAAAGAATTAACAAATTCTTGTGAAAGTCTTCCAAAAACTAGAAAAGAACACTTCCAAACTCATTTTACAAGGCTAGTATTACTCTAATACCAAAGACAGACAAGGACATAACAGGAAGAGAAATAATATCCCTGATGAACATAGATGCAAAGAAAATTTTTTTTAAATAAAAAATTTAACAGTACTTTGAAAGGAACATACACCGTGATCCAGTGGGAAATATCCCAGGGATGCAAGGATGGTTCAATACCCAGACATCAATGAATGTGATACACCACATTAACAAAGGGAAGGGTAAAAATCATATGGTCATCTCAGTAGGCACAGAAAAGGCATTAGAAAAATTTCAACATCCTTTCGTTATAATAACTCTCAACACATTAGAGTAGAAAGACTGCACCTTGACATAATGAAAGTTATATATGGCAAACCCACAGTTAATAGTGTACTTAACAGTAACAGCTGGGAGTATTACCCCTAAGATTAAGAAAAAGACAATAATGCCTTCTCTTGTCACTTCTATTTAATATAATACAGCTGTAATAATCAAAAGAGCATTATACTGGCATAAAACTGAGATATATCAATGGAACAGAATAGCCTAGAAACAAACACATACATACACAGTGAATTAATTTTCAACAAAGAGGTGAAGATTATAAAATGGGGAAAGAATAGACTTTCCAATAAATGGTGTAGGGAAAACTGTATTGCCACAGGAAAAAAAAAAAGTTGAACTGGACCTCTGTCTTACACCATATACAACAATCATCTCAAAGTGGAAGATAAAAAACACTTGAATGTAAGACCTGTAAAACTCCTAGAAGAAAATATAGGAGATAAGCTTCTTGACATTGGTCTTGGCAATGATTTTTTGGATAGGCACCAAAAGCAAAAGCAACAAAAGAAAAATTAGACAGCTAGGACTACATCAAACTAAAAAGCTTCTGCTTAGCACTGGAAACCATCCACAAAATGAAAGAGAATAGGAGACAATATTTGCAAATCACATATCTAATAAGGGGTTAATATCCAAAACATACAAGGAACTCTTACATATCAATAACAAAAAATATCTTTAAAATGATAATGATAATCTTTATTAAAAATGGGCAGAGGACCAAAATAGACATTCCCCCCCCCCACAAAAAAAAAATACAAATGGCCAAGACGTACACGAAAATGTGCTTTACATCACTAATGATGAGGACCATGCAAGTCAAAACCACAATGAGATATCACCTCACACCTGTTGAGACAGCTATCATCAAAAGACAAGAGAGAACAAATACTGGCAAGGATGTGAAGAAAAGGGAACACTTGTACACTGTTTGTGGGAATGTAAGTTGGTACAGCCACTATGGAAAACAGTATGGAAATTAAAAATACACCTACTTTATGATCCAGCAATAGCCAAAGTATGGAAACAATGAGTGTCTATCAAGGGATGGATGGATCAAAAATGTGGAATACAGGCAATGGAATATTCAGCTTTTAAAAAGATGGAAGTCCTGACATTTGTGACAACATGGATGAATCTGTGGGGCAGTATGTTAAGTGAGATGAGACACACAGAGAAAGTCAAATACTGAGTAGTATCAACTATATGTGTATTCAAAATAAAAAATAATGAACTGGTAGAAACACAGAGTCGAAAATCTGTTGCCAGTGGAAACTAGGGAGAAGTTGGTAAAAGGGTACAAACTTTCAGTTATAAGATGAATAAGTCCTGAGGATCTAATGTATAACAAGGTGACTATAGTTGATAACACTATATAATTGTTATATAATTATACAATACAATTATTATATAATTATTGTATAAATGAAATTTACTAAGAGAGCAGAACTTAAACATATTCACACACAAAAATGGGATAAATATGTGAAATGAAGAATGTGCTAATTCACTCAGTGGGGTGAATCATTTCACAATGTATACATGTATCAAATCGTCACTTTGTACACTTTAAATAACATAATTTTATTTTCAGTTATACCCCAATAAAGCTAGAAAATGACAGTAGCAGATAAATAAGTTCTGGAGATCTACTATATAGCTTAGTTCCCATAGCTTTAAAAATATGTCATTGTATACTTAAAATTTTCCAAGAGGGTAGATCTTTTGTTAATTGTTCTTAGCACACACAAAATAATAATAATTATAATACAAAGGGCAGGAGGAAACTTTGGGAAGTGATGGATATGTTTATGTCCTTGATGATGCTAGTAATTTCATGGGCGTGTCCTTATCCCCAAACTCATCAAGTTTTACACATAGGTACCGTTTTTTGCTGGTGATTATACCTGGAAGTGGTTTAAAGAATAGTAACAGAGCCAAATTCAAGAACTAAGAGAGTGGGAAGAGGATATAAAAAGACTCAGTTAAAGTCAGGCGATCCAGGGAGAAGTAGGACTTTCTTTAACCTCCAGGACATAGTCAGAAAAACTGTAAAAGCCTTAGGTAAGCACCACACTCAGCATGGTTGAAAAACAACTTGGTTCCTTTATGAAGATTATAAATGGCCGAAGAAGGTGTCGAGTTCAATGGGACTAAGTGTCCTCCACCACCTGCCTCCACATGAGTTTACTATGGGTTAAGTATGACGTGCAGAGAATGCGGAATTTCCCACATGCCCCAACACAGGAGGACTAATGGATTAAAAGAGGAGCTCTGGAATCACAAAATGAATGAATGAATGAATGAACGAAGTGAGATCTCATGAAGAGACCCTGATTATCTCTAAAAGGCAAAGCAAAGTATAATCAGCCACACTTTGTTAGATACCAACTGAGAGCACCAGTGATCAGGCAGACTGAGTTACACCACAGTGGATGCCAACGGAGACAGGAGATGGTGGTAAATCAGCCACACTAATCTCTCTCTGATGGCCAGAGGCATGTGTGTCATCCTTGGTCTAAGACTACCATGGAAGAAGGAAAAGGAGAGGTGGAAGGAACTGTGAAAGTTAGCAGGCATGACCTATCTGGACTTCATCTGAGATGCTAATAGTACATGAATTTTCCCAAAATAAAATCACTAGATGAGACTGGAATTCAGTAGCTCAATTCATCTGCTTTAAGCAGATTGTGCCAGTTCCAAGAATTCAACCATAAATGCAAATTTTGAGAGAACAGACTTTGGAGGAAGAGTTTGTATTTCAATAGCCAGACTAGAAAAAGACCTACCATGCAAAATTGGTTTAAGATATATTCCATAGAAAAAGAATAGAGCAACCATCAAAAGAATTATTTCAATCTGAAAACCTAGAAAAATTAAGCTGGAGGGGAGAAAAACTTGGAAAGAGATTTGGGTATTGAATCCCACTCTCATTTCAGTCTTCACTTCTTGATGCTATTAAGCTAATCCCTGTGATTTTAAAGAGCCACCCCATGGAGAATTCCCTGTCGGTCCAGTGGTTACGACTCTGTGCTTTCACTGCAGAGGGTGTGGGTTCAATCCCTGCTCAGGGAGCTAAAATCCTGCAAGCCACAAGGCAAAAAAGAAAAGAAAAGAAAAGAAAAAAGCCCCCCATGGTCTTTTAGGACAAGTGGATGAAATTTCTAAAGGGAAGACTTTTGGAGAGATAATAATGGCATGCTCCACAGACACATATCAATAACTAAGAATCGTTGTTTCCACTGAGGATAAGAATTGATAGATTTGAGTGATTCCAAGAGCAAGAAGTGACATCGATTGATTTTCCAGGGCATAAACTAGGACTATTGGAAGTCTCTTAGACAAGCCAGCGTTCTACCCAATGATAGATTATAAATGGCTAAATAAACTGTCTATGGAATAAACTTTGGTATGCTTATGCCAAAAAATGGGATCTAAAAGTTTCTGAATTCTTAAGAGAGGAGTGCAGAATGACTGGAAATATCAGCACGTTGGAAGAATCCTGGGATTGAAACGGAGTGTCTGTGTACTAAATAGATTTACTGACTAAAGATCATGGCAGGTACCATGAGCATAATCAGAAGGGGCTCAAAAGATACGCAAAGTGTAAATAGATGAAGTCAGCCACTGTCAACAAATGTTGGGTAAGAAATAGGAAGACTAGTCAAGCTTTAGCAAAGTGGGAGCAGGTGATGAATTTTCCCAACTGAGTTCTAAAATAGGAAATGAAGGCAGGTCTGAACATTTGAGTTCAGTGTGTAGTTTTCAATTCTGCTACAGTGCTAATTAATTGTTTCACATTTAGCTGTGCACCATAAAATAATGTCATTGTGGCATTTTTCTGGTTTTTTACTATCAATTAAACAACATATTACAGTTTATGTAATACAATACTTATTTAAAACTTTGTTTCATTAAAAGACAACACGATAAGACATTTTTTGCTTTCCCTTTCCAGGGATGTTCTTTGTGGAAAATTGGCTTGTGTTTGGCCACATAATACTACTTACAAAAGTGATGTTCGATCTGCAGTTTATTCATCTACTCAAGGACATGTATGCCTAACTATTGGGTCATCAGTGAGATCAGGTGGAAGAGATTATGCCTATGTGGCTGATGGCACTGTGTGTGGTCCACAAATGGTAACAAAACATGTTCACTTATCTTTATCTGTGCTAAATTATGTAATTATCAGACACTATATTCCATGATGACTTTCACAATCATACAAAACGGATTTGAACCTGGTGCTGCCACTTATTTCCCAAATGATACTGAAAAGATAATTAAACCAAGCCTCAGTTATCCAATCACATTGATTTTTGGGTTAATCTGTCATCAGTCCTAATGTGAGAAGATGTGTTTTTAAGCACAAGATTCCACTAACTGACAGGTGATTTTCTTTAGGTCTTTGAATTCTGATGGTTTTAAATCATAAAATTCTAATTTTGAGTTTTTAATTTTTCCTGCTTCACAAAGAAACATAATCAAGCTTTCATATTTCTTCTGCTTACGTGTATGGTCAAAATATAAGTGTTGAGAAATTTGGGAGAACCAAACAAGAAGTCTGTACTGGGAGACCACAGTTACAGTGATGTACAAGCTTATGCTCATACATACATGTAGTACTATTCATGTAGTCAAAAAATAAAGGGAGAACACAAATGGTTCAGAGGCATAGTGAGTCAGTCTGGAAGTATGAGTGCCCACATTTCAGAAAACATAAGGCAGCAGTTATAAATCAGTGTGTTTCATGTAAATGGCATTTAGTACTTACTTGCTGGATTAAAAATAAAACAAAACGTTAAAATGGTTACTCAATTAGCTAGTTCTTATATCTGAGTTCAGCAATTTTATTCCCTTGGAAACTTGCTTCTTGTGGTCGACAGCTTCTAAAATGCTCCAGTGCTCCCACTTCCTGGTATTCACACCTCAGTGTAATCCTCTTCCCTTGTGTGTGCTCTGGATACAGTGACTGGCTTCTGAGAAAGATAGTATGGCAGGGTTATGGAATGTCACTTACAAGATTAATTTTAAAAAGACAGTGGCTTCTGTTTTGCATTCTCTCTCTCTGTCTTTCTCCTGCCTTCTCAGATTGCTTGCTTTGCTGAAGCAAGGTACGTGATGGAGAAACTCATATGGAAAAGCAAATATTTTCTCCTATAGCTTTTTTTGTACCCTCTTCACAGACTTTAACAGAGCAAAAGCTTTTGATTTTCATGATGTCAATTTATCAGTTTTTCCTTTCATAGAGCATGCTTTTTGTGTCAAGTCTAAAAGCCCTTCATCTAAACATAGGTCATGAAGATATTCTCCCAGTTTTTTTCTAAAAATGTATAATTTTGTGCTTTACATTTAAGTCTTTGTTTAATTTTAAGTTTATTTTATAACGTGTGAGGTTTAGGTTGAGGTTCATTTTTTTTGTACTTTGGTCAAAAATAAATTGGGTATATTTTTGTGGGTCTATTTTTGGGTTGCCTAGATTGTTAAATTAATCTGCATGTCTGTCCATCCACCAGTATCATATTCTCTTGATTACTTTAGCAATTCAGTAAGCTTTAATAACAAGCAGAGTGATTCTCCTCATTTTATTTTTCTTTCAAAATATAGTTTTAGCTATTCTAGTTTAGCCCTGCACTTTTCCATATAGATTGTAAAATAAACTTATATGAGACAACAAAAAACTTTTCAGAAATTTAATAAGAATTGTGTTAAAGCTATAGTTTAATTTGGGAAGGACGAATATCTTTACTACATTTAATCTTCCAATCCATGAATATGCTAAGCCTCTTCAATTATTTAAGTGCTCATTGATTTCTTTCATCAGCATTTTATAATGTTCAAGATACAGGTGTTGTGCATCTTTTGTTAGACTTGTATCTCAGCACTTTATTCACTTTGGAGTAAGTAGAAGTGATATTGTGTTTTTAATTTCACCTTTCACATGTTTATAGAAATGTAATTTTTATGTGTTGAACTTGTACCCCAAACCTTGCTGCATTATTTTATTAGTTCTAGAACTTTTTTGGGGGTAGAGTCCTTAGAATTTTGTAGACAATCACTTCATTTTCAAATAAAGACAGTTTTTTTTTTCTTTTATGGTCTACACACATATATGTTTTTCCTTGCTTATTGCACTGGCTAGAGCTTCATGTACTATGTTAAATAAGAGTCTTGAGAGTGGACACCCTTGCTTTCTTCCTGATCTTAGGGGAAAACTTCCAGTCATTTACCATCAGCTGTTTTATTAGCTGTAGGTTTAAATATGACATTTAAGAAAGTTGAGAAAGTTCCCTTCTACTCCTTGTTCACTCAGATTTTTTTCATTATAAATAGGTGCTGAGTTTTGTCAAATACTTCTTCTGTGTTAATTGATATAACCATGTGATTTTTCTTTTTTGGGAATATAGTTCTATTTCATCCAGATCATCTAAAAAACAATATGTGGAAATACATTAATGGTATTTGAGAAGTCTAGATTCATAAGAAAAACTAGCGTTTGTAGAGATAGTACATTTTCCCTTATTCTGTGTTAGCTGGTGTAGCTTGATAGGAATGAGGAAGCACAAATGATTAAATTTAGGTGGAGGGGCTTCCCTGGTGGCGCAGTGGTTGAGAGTCCACCTGCCGATGCAGGGGACACGGGTTCGTGCCCCGGTCCGGGAAGATCCCGCATGCCACGGAGCGGCTGGGCCCGTGAGCCATGGCCGCTGAGCCTGCACGTCCGGGGCCTGTGCTCCGCAACGGGAGAGGCCACAACGGTGAGAGGCCCATGTACCGCAAAAAAAAAAAAAAAAAAAAAAAAAAATTAGGTGGAGAATTTTGGAAAATGTTTCAAAATTGCCAGAGACTTTGATCATGACTATCTAGGAGATTTAAGAGTGCCAAACGCCTCTGTGCAAGTTTTTTTTTTTTTAACTCTTTAAATATGATAAAATATACATTATACAAAATTTACAGCTTTAACCATTTTCAAGTTTACAATTCAGTGGCATTAAGTACATTCACTTGACCATAAATAATCTATTCCATTAGTCAATTTGTCTGAATTTATGCCGGAAACACATGGTTATCATTGGTGTAGCTTTGTAGTAAGTTTTGAAATCAGGAAGTGTGAGTCCTCCAACGTTGTTGTTTTATAACACTGTTTTGGTTATATAGAGCAGTGGTCCCCAACCTTTTTGGCACCAGGGACTGGTTTCATGGAAAACAATTTTTCCACAGATGGGGGGGTGCGGTAGGGGGATGGTTCAGGAGGTAATGCAAGCGATGGGGGGGATGGTTCAGGCGGTAATGTGAGCGATGGTTCAGGCTGTAGTTCGAGCGATGGTTCAGGCTGTAATTCAAACGATGGGGAGCAGCAGATGAAGCTTCATTAGCTCACCTGCTGCTCACCTCCTGCTGTGCAGCCCGTTTCCTAACAGGCCAGGGACCAGTACCGGTCCACAGGCTGGGGGTTGGGGACCCTTGATATAGAGTCTCTTGGGATTCTATGTGCATTTTAGGATGGGCTTTTTATTTATGAAAAAAATATGTCTTTGGAATTTTGATAGACTGCATTGAATTTATAGATGCTTTGGATAGTATTGATATCTTAACAATATTACATCTTCCAGTCCATGAACACAGGATAGCTTTCTATTTTTCTGTTGTTCTTTTTAAAAATTTTTTCAGTATTTCTTTTTAGTTTTCAGTGTATGCTCCTTGGTTAAGTTTAGTTGTCTAATAATAGTGGATGCTATTCTATACTGAATTGTTTTCTTAATTTCCCTTTTAGAATGTTCATTGTTAAAGAAATGTATTTGCTTTTTGTATGTTAATATTTTATCCTGAAGCTTTAATGAATCCTTGATTAGTTCTAACAGGCATTTTGTGTATGTGGAGCTTTTAGAGTTGACATACAAGATCACATCATCTGCAAAGAGATAATTTTACTTCTTCCTTTACAATGTGTATGCCTTTCATTTTTTTCTTGCCTCATTGCTCTGGCTAGAACTTCCAGTATTATATTGAAGAGAAAGGGCAAAAGTAGACTGGCATACGCAATGTCATTTTACTCATTGGCTCTGTGTAAATTTTCAGAAAATAATTGCAAAATGCTAATTTTCATTCTTATTTGATATATTCTTCTTTTCAATAATTTCATCATATGTTATGCTGATATATATATATATTTTTTTGCGGTACGCGGGCCTCTCACTGTTGTGGCCTCTCCCGTTGCGGAGCACAGGCTCCGGACGCGCAGGCTTAGCGGCCATGGCTCACGGGCCCAGCTGCTCCGCGGCATGTGGGATCTTCCCAGACCGGGGCACGAACCCGTGTCCCCTGCATCGGCAGGCGGACTCTCAACCACTGCGCCACCAGGGAAGCCCTATGCTGATATTTTTAAAGAAGTCAAAAGAACATAAGCTAGGAGCCTAGTTTAAAAAACAGAAAAAGGTAAATGAGGGAAAAAGTGAGTAATTTACCACTGGATTACCCACTTTGACGTAAGAAGGGTTTTGCAGTGGATCCAAATTAAGTTAAAATATTTCTCTTGCTGGATTATTCAGATCAATATTATAACAGGGATTCATGATAATTTATAATCCAAAATATTAATTTATATTTAAAACCCAAACTAAATTAATAAATTATGTTCCAGTTTCAGTTTTTGAGGGGACAAATCATTAATATTAATCTAACCAATTATTCATAACAGAACATTAACTCCCCTGATGGTGATTCTCAATTCAATTCCCAATTGTAAGTATCAAAACCAAAATTATATGACATTATTACATAAACTATGTTAAGGCAAGCACTCTCAGGGGGGGTTTCTTAAAGTTATTATTGTTTATTTTTGTATTGGAATGCCAGAATCTTTGTACCAATATCAAAGTAATACATAATAAAAAGTCTCAACAAGAGCATCTTTTGTACGTATATAGCAAATAGTTAATTCTTTCTTCACATCAAATTTGTGAATAATTATGAAGTATTGTTTGTTCTGTTTTAGTATTGTATAAATAAAACCTGCAAAGAAGTTCCTTTAATGGGGTATAATTGTAATGCCACTACAAAATGCAGAGGAAATGGGGTAAGTTACTTTTGTTTTCGTAGTTCTAAATTTCATGTTATTTTTGTGGGTATTTCAAAGTCAAAATCTATACTGTTTGGGAGAACTGAAAACCTAGGTCGCTTTTAAACAGACCCGGCCTAAGAATAGCTAACTAATATAAAGAAAATCAGCTGATTTCTAACCAATCCAAACTATTAAGTGAATTGTACTATGTGTGTACTGAATTTATTGTAAGCACTCACAACTTATGAATTGGTAACATGTTCAAATAAAAAACACTTATTATTTTCTCATGCAAATAAATGCATATTTTACTTATATTGTGAACATATTTGTTCTCCCTCATACTCTACATAATTAAAACTTATGGCTATATAATATTTTACAGAAGGTATACTTAAAAAACATATTAGAGAATTTCTGATGTTCTTATGAAGAGGTTTCTGATAGAAAATATATCCTCCTGCAAAAAATATTTTATTTCTTCTCAATTGCTTATCTGTTTTAATCTGGTAATACAGACTTGTAGTTACTTTTATATTTAATTTTTACTTCTTAAAATGTATAATTTGGGTCTCTTTGTGTTACTATTTTCCTAAAAGAAAATTAGTGTATGATTTAGTCAACATTATATGAATGATCCCAAATTAACCAAATTTATCAGTATTCAATTTTATAATTTTTAATTGATTGGTTTTAGAAGATATAAAGTGCTGCTGCATTGTCTTTAACTTTCTATGAGCTGTAAACAAAAAGGATAGCTACATTTTCATGTTTTGTCTTTTATTTTCTATACTTATAATTATTGGTCTGATCTTTTGGTTTCCTTTGTTCAATTATCTGTTTTTAAGCCTTCAGCCTTAATATTTTTTATAAAATCTCAAACCAAAGTTATAGATTATTGATACATTTTATTTAGTAATAATTAACATGCAATATTATATTAGTTTCAGGTGTATATTAGTTTCAGGAGTACAGCACAGTGATTTGATATTTTTATACATTATGAAATGAGCACGACAGTAAGACCAGGTTTTTGTACATCTTATTTTACAATACAAAGTTTTAGGAAAAAAGAAAACAACACATCCAAAATGTAGCTACTTTGACTTTGATGTTCCTGAGATATTCTATGCATTATGTTAATTTTTTCTAAAATTTATGTTACAGGGAAATTATAATCTATTTAGATTTGATATTCTAGATAAATGTTCTTTCTAACATGACATTGTCCGTCTACTTTAATGGGAGGAGTAGGGTACTGGAATACCACTTTTTTCAAAAAGTAAAGACAAATGTATGTGGGAGGTATTCATTTAGAGGAGGTCCCATGTATCAACAATGGAAAACTGTTGCCTTTCCACATTAAAAATCCCTCTGTTGTCACAGAGCTATTAAATTTTAATTCCATTCTCCCAAAACTTTGTAAGCTCTGTTGGACTGTCCTATTGCTTTCAGTCCTGCCAGAGAGAAACGTGATGCTAGTTTAATTCCTTTTACCTTGTGCCGAATGTTGTGAGATTACTTTTCTTTGTTTTCTGAGCTTAGAAATGTTGCTGACAAGTGTCTAAGGTATGTGTTTTTCATTTCATTTTTTCTACTAGGAAGTCAAATTACACATCCAGTCTGAAATAGCATGTCATTCTTCATTTAATAAAATTTAATAATATAAAATTTAATAATATTATTTATTTGGTTATTGCTTCTGCTCTAGCTGGCCATCTTTTTCTTTCATTAAGTTAGTCAAAATGCAATGATGGTAACCTCTGTTGCTTTATGTTGCTTAGATAATTGTAAATTAATTCAGGACAGGGGAAAAATTTTGGATTAGGTTTGAGATAATAAATAAACGATACTGTAGTCCTAATTTCAAAACTTTATATTAAAATATTTATCACCTGTGCACTAAATATCAAAAAACAGAGGTATTGATATGTACAATAGAAGAACACTTTATGGAATTCAAGATTATAATTCAAACTCATTTTATTGAAATCCCTTTTGATATGTAGGGAAAAGAGATTTAAAATTTCAATAATCGTTAAACACAACAATTTAGCGCTGTCAGTGTACATGAGCAGGACACAATATCTGTAGCACAATTATAGGAAATATCCATATCTTTGAATATTACATCTATTTTTTAAATGTGCCAGTCCTATATTTATACCTTCAGGTATGGGAATACGTTCATAACATAACATTAGTGATATTTGTTTGGCAAAAACCTGGGAATGAGTGTTAATGTGTGTTTGTGGGTGTGGATGTACATGTTTATCTGTGAATATACATAACACAGAATATGCTTAGCAGTGGAGAGGGACTTAATTAGTGGGTGAAGACACATTTAGTTCTGTGCATTTTAATTGTTTGAATTTTACAAAATTTTACTCAAAAATGAAAATTAACACTAAGCTATTGAAATGTAAAAGCATAACATGGAAACTGCACTGAATATAAACTGCTAGCAATTCAAACTTATCATAAAGGTTTTTTTCTATCGTTTTTAATTATTTTTGGCATCTCTGGTTTTTTTTCTTATATTGGAAAATTTTTCACATAAAAATGAAATACAAATGGTTGATCAACAGTATTAAGTTTTGAAAGAAAGGGCCAGGATAATAAATTAAAGAGGCCAAGTCAATTGATGGCAATTCTATCACGATATTTTTGTGTATAAATTAAAGGCCAGGGGCTTCCCTGGTGGCGCAGTGGTTGGGAGTCCACCTGCCGATGCAGGGGACACGGGTTCGTGCCCCGGTCCGGGAGGATCCCACATGCCGCGGAGCGGCTGTGCCCGTGGGCCATGGCCGCTGGGCCTGCGCGTCCGGAGCCTGTGCTCCACAAGGGGAGAGGCCACAACAGTGAGAGGCCCGCGTACCGCAAAAAAAAAAAAAAAAAAAAAGAAGAAAATTAAAGGCCAGGAACATACTATCAGGCAGAGTAGTGATTCTGGCATTAACTGTTAGTATACTGCCAAATTTTTCACTACTTTTTCTAACCTATTTCTCACATTATGTAGTCTTAATAAACTCAGAAAAACAGTGATTTTGTTCTTTTGAATGTATTTCTATATGACATATAAAGACTGCCATGATTTATAGTGATTATATGTTTTTCTGTTTCAGATATGTAATAATTTAGGCAATTGTCATTGCTTTCCTGGGTATAGGCCTCCAGATTGTGAATTACAAATTGGTTCACCGGGAGGAAGTATTGATGATGGAAATGATCATAAATCTGGTGAGTAGAAATTAAACTTTAAAAAAAAATAGAATGCTTTCTGAAATAATTAAAGAAATACACTGCCGAGTCAAATCTTTCATGATCTCCTGAGTAATTAATAGAGTTACCTTGAATAGTGGCTTTCATTAAATTAGTGTTAAATAATATTTGTAACGTGGTTTCCTCAGAGAAACCCAGTTTTGATCATCTCAGTTACTAAGATAGAATACGTTACTCTTAAGTTTCAATAAATGTCATAGCATGAATGCAAAACAAATTCAAATATGGACGAATGAACACTATGTAAATTGTTTGCATCCCGTGCTATTAAAAACTTTGTAGGTTATTAAAAAACAATTGTAGGATAAAGTGTTTATTCTGAATGAAATTTAGACAAAAACATATGACAAAATATAAGTATACACATTTATTAGGAAATAACAGTAAATCACATTTTGAGTGATGAAGTACAGGTTTCTACTTTCTCTTTTTTCCGTGAACAGCAAGTGGCTGTTCATTGATTCAACATCCCTTTATGATAAAAACTCTCAACAAAGTGGGTATAGAGGGGCTATACCTCAACATAGTAGAACCCATACATGGAAAACCCAAAGCTACCATCATACTCAATGGTTAAAAGCTGAAAGCTTTTCCTCTAAGAACAGGAACAAGACAAGGATGTTCACGCCCACCACTTTTATTCAACATAGTATTGGAAGTCGTAGTCACGGCAATTAAACCAAAAAAACAAATAAAAGATAATGCAAGTTGTATTTTATGGGTATTTTATTCTTACTGGACTACATGGCCCAAATCAATTCATACATGTCCATTTATAAAATTATTTTTGTGTTTGTATAATTTTGCTGGAACACCTGGACATCCATAAGCAGAAGAATTATTCTAGGCACAGACCTCATAACTTTCAAATATTAGGATCACAGTCCTAATACAAAATACAAAAGTATGCATCTCCTAGAAGATAACAGAAGAAAATCTAAGTGCCCTTAGAGAATGACATTTCAGATACAGCAGCATGAAGATGATCCATAAAAGAAAAAATTGGTAACTTGCACTTGATTAAAACGTAAAAGTTCTGTTCTGTACAGAGAGTCAGAGAATGAAAAAAACAAGCCAGAAACTGGGAGAACATCTTTGCAAAACATATATCTGATATAGGACTGGTATTCAAAATATACCAAGCACTCTTGAAACTCAACAGTATGAAAATTAACAACCCAGTTTAAAAATGAGCAATGTTAAAGTGCTTATCTGGGCTCTCTTGTAGTTCTCTGAGCATCTCTAGAACGATTACGTTGAATTCTTTGTTGAGCGATACCTAGATCTCCATTCTTTTGGGGCCAGTCATGGTAAATGTCCTGTATTCCTTTGGTGGAGACCTCTTTCCCTGATTTTTCATGATTCCTGCAGCCTTGCGTAGATGTCCATACATTTGGAGATACAGTCACCCCTTCCAGACTTTGTAAACGATTTCCTAAGGGAAGCCTTTCACCTGTGGATGGAGGCATACTTGATCGTGCTGTGACCCTGGGACAACTGGTGCAGGGCGCCAAATGCAGGAGCACCTGGTGGTACCAGGCCCAAAGGGATGTAATGTCTTTTCGGCTCAGGCCACTGAGGTCCATATTATCAACTGTGTGGTCCTTGTGAGCATTTCGTGGTCCATAGTGGCTGCAAGGACTGTTGGGCTCGAAGCAGGACCTCCAGGATCAGTAGCTAAGGACAAGGCCAGGCAGCAGTGGTGGCTGGAGATAGTGGCATGCACACACTTGGCCGTGGGGCCCAACTGCAGGTGCCCATGTGGTGGCAGAGGTCAGGTGCAGACGTGCTTGAAGCGATGGGCTGGAACCAACTATAGGCTCACTGGCCACTGCAGTGTTCCTGAGTGTCAGTGTGCTTTCCTACTGCTTCAAGCTCTACCTTGGGGTATGCATGCTGCAGGGAGACCAGTGATGGGGGGTGGTCAGGCTCGGGGTGCACACCGATGGGCTAACTACAGGTAGGCACAGTGATGCCAACTAGTGTCAGAAGGCAGAGCCTGATCTGGATCCAACAAACAGCTACAGTATGCTCCTCTCCTGTGGCTGTACTCTTAGCCCGTGGAAAGAGTGCACTGCTGTGGAGGTCAGTGATGGGGGTCTGGCTGGGGGTGTGCAGGTGCATAGCTGGGGGGCGGGGCTAGTTACAGGTGGGCATGGGTACCGGCCAATGACAGAGGCTGAGCCTGATCTGGATCTGATAACAGCTGCAGGGTCCATGGATGTCAGTGTGCTCTCCTGTGGCTGGACGCTCTCCTCACTGGCATGCACACTGCAGTAGAAGCCAGTGACAGGAATCAGGCTGGGAGCATGCCAGTGCACGGATGGAGGGGCTATCAACAAACAGGCAGCCATGGTGGTCTTGGCCAGTGACAGAAGGCAGGACCTGACTGTGCCTACAAACAGCTGTGACTGGCAGGAGAGGGGGCAAGCTGGCTGCCTATGCATTCACCTGGGGTTGCAGGTTATTTCCACTCAGTATTATATCAGAGTCTAGTCAGTATAAAAAGACCAAAAAAAAAAAAAGCTCAAAAAGCATACAGATTGAAAAGAAAATCAGTCTTTATGTATAGATAATATGATCCTATATGCAGAAAATCCTAAGGAATCCACAAAAAATTTAGTAAGGTTGAAGAATATGAGATCAATATACAAAAAGCAATTGTATTCCTATAAACTAAGAGGAGACAATCCAACAATGACATTAAGAAACCAATTTTATTCACCACAGCATAAAAAGTAAAATACCTAGAAATAAATTTAGTGAAAAATTACATGATTTGTACACTGAAAATTTCAAACCATTGCTGATGTAAATTATAGAAAATTTATATAAATGGAGAGACAATGATGTTCATAGATTGGAAGACTATTGTTAAATGGACGGTTCTCTGCAAATTTATCTATACATTCAAGAAAATCCCTGTAAAAATCATCCAGCTGGTTCGTTTGCAGAAAGTGACAAGCTGGCTATAAGCTTTATATAGAATTTCAAAGGACCTAGAGTTGTCCAAATAACTTTGAAAAGAGTGATGTTGAAGAAAGTATACCACCCAATTTCAAAACTTTCTATAAAGCTACAATAATCAACACAGTGTAGCACTGATATTAACATAGACGTGTAGATCAATGGAACAGAATAAAGAACTGGAAATAGACCCACAGATACATGGAAAACTGATTTTCCGTAAAAGTGCAAAGCAACTCAGTGAATAAAGGGTAGTCTTTTCAACAAAAGGTGCTGGAACCATTACATACCCACATGTAAAAAAAAATAAAATAAAATAAAGGAATTTTGTACATGATCTGAAATCATATACAAAAATTCACTCAAAGTGGATCACAGATCAAAATGTGAAGCCTAGAGCTTCCCTGGGAGGTGCAGTGGTTGAGAGTCCGCCTGCTGATTCAGGGGACTCGGGTTCGTGCCCCGGTCCGGGAAGATCCCACATGCCGCGGAGTGGCTGGGCCCGTGAGCCATGGCCGCTGAGCCTGCGCGTTCAGAGCCTGTGCTGCGCAATGGGAGAGGCCACAACAGTGAGAGGCCCGCGTACCGCAAAAAAAAAAAAAAAAAAACAAGTGAAGCCTAAATGTATAAAACTTCAAGAAGAAAGTACATGAGAAAACCTTAGTGACTTTGGATTAAATAAGGATTTTTTTTTACATATGACACCAAAAGCACAATCCAAGGAGAAAAGGTGAAAACTTGGACATCATCAAAATTAAAAGCTTTTGCTCTTCAAAAGTCACTGTTAGGTGTATACCTAATAAAGTATTTATATTCAGAATATGTACAGATTTTATATTCAGAATATATAATCTTTGATACTTAATAATGAAAAACCAACAGCCTTCTAAAAATGGGCAAAACACTTAAACAGACACTTTACCAAAGAAGATATATGGATTGGCAAATAAGCACAAGTAAAGATGCCCAACATCATTGTTCATCAAGGAAATGCAAATTAAAGTCACAATTAGACACCATAACATTCCTTTAAATTTCATTTAAATTTAAAGGACTAACCACATGAAGTTTTGCCAATATGTGAGGATAGTGTCTCATACACTACTGTTGAAGTGTAAAATTGTACAGTTTCAGCTTCTTAAAATGGTAAACTTTTACCTACCATGTAATCTAGTCACTTTACTATTTTATTTACCCAAGAGAATAGAATGCCTTCTCCCATACCAAACTTTGTATACAAATGTTCATAACAGCTTTAGATGTAATAGATAAAAGTTGGAAACAACCCAAATACAAATCAACAGGTGATGGATCAAGGACGTGTGGTATATCCAAACAATAGTATATATTGAACAGTAAAAAGGAACAAGCTATTGTTAAAAGTACCAACATGGATGGATGTCAACATTTACGCTGTGTGAAAGAAGCAAGACTAAAATGAATACAGACTGTCTGACTCTGTATTAAATTGTAGAACACACAAACTAATTGATAGGGAGAGAATGCAGATCAAATCAGTGGTTGCTTGTTTGGGGGAGTGGCATCACGGCAGCACCATATATAGGCAAGTAGAAACTTTTGTGGATGATGGATATATTCACGACAGTTGAGCCTGGGAGTACGTGGATTTGAACTGCACGGATCCACTCATACACAGATTTTTTTCGATAAATACTACAGTACTACAGCATCTGAGGTTGATTGAATCCACGGAAGGGCAACTGCGAATATGGTGGAACCTGGGCTAAGAAGGGACCTAGAATATGCAGGACCAACGCTAAAGTTAAACATGGATTTAGACTGCTCAGAGTGGATTCCCCTGACCCCTGCATTGTTTAAGGGTCAACTGTCTTTTGACTGATGTGGTGGTTTTATAGATATATACATATAATAAAACCTGTAAAATTGTACATCTCAAATAGGTGCATGTATTATGTGTCTAAAATAACTCAGTAAAGCTGTTAAAACAGCAAAATTTAAATGACATCTAAGACAAAGTCACATTATTTTGTTGTCCAATAGTCACACTATTTTGTTGTCAAATCTTTGAGCTGTAAAATTACGGCATGCATGCATTTCTGTTATTATGTTATAGTTCAGTAAAAAATTTACTAAATAAATAATAATGGAAGAGATCAATACACATGTAACCTTTGGAGAGGAATGATGATTAGAAAATGTCCGGAGGATGCTTTGGGGAGTCTAACAGGGTATGTTTTGAGATCTGGATGATTTTTCTAATTCTTTGTTAACATATTTATTTACTGTGTACTTTTCTGAATTGCGTAATACTTCAAGTTTTTAGGTGTAAGAAATAACGAAAGGGCATAAATATGTCGTTGAACGTCAACAAGAGGGGAAAAATACACACAACACACACTTTACGTATAGGTAGATACAGATACCAGGATAGGTATAGATATGGATTTTATTCATACGTATAAAATATAAATACTAGATGGAGAAACATGAGTCATTTCAAAATGGTTTCCTCCAAGGAGAGAAGCTATGTGACTTGGCGAGGGAGGGGGATGGCGGTTTTTCACAGTATTTTGCTAAATTTTTAACTTAAGCCCTATTAATATATCACCTTTTAAAATATGATGCCATAAATAAGCAGCACGTAATAAGCAGACCTCAAAATATGTATACAGTATCGTAATAATTAAACAAATATGCATAAAAGATGACTAGTAAATCTATGAAAAATGTACCATTGAAGTTTTGGCTATGAGCTTAAATGTCCTTTTGTTTTCTCCTATAAGAGTTTGCAAGGTATTAAACTTTCGATTAGGTATATGATTTTATATGTACACATATGATTAAAGTGAAATAAATATAAATTTATTCAAATGTTCTATGTTTCATTTCTAGTTACAGTTTTTACTAAAAAAGGCTACAATGCACATCAGAACTGGCTTATTTTGAGTTTCTACATTGTTCTGCCCTTTTTCATAATTTTCACCATTATGATCATGAAGCGAAATGAAATAAGAAAATCATGCAACAAAGAGAGTGCAGAATATGAGGGGTAAATATGATTTTACAAATAATTTATTATTTTAAATTGTGCTGGTCATTAACCAGTGTCATAAATTCATAATTGCATAACATTTGTTACATTTATTATTAAATATGTGCTATTTTAAATCTAAGGTAAATGGCATTTTAACCATTTTGTTTTCCCAGTAGTTCATTGTTAGTATATTAAGGCAAGTCAAAATTTTGACTGCTCCAAAACTGTTCTCCTGATGAATATTCCACACTGTACTAGGGACTTAATATGTCAGAGAAGAATATATTTGGTGTATCATTTTAAGTTCCTTTCTAGTTGGATCTAAATTAAGTATGAGTCTTTGTTTCCTTTGGGGAAACCTTTTTTTTCCAATTTAGAATTTGTGTTAAACATGTCACTAATAAACCCTTGAACCTCATAATATTTCTATCTCTTTAGTAGTCTCAAATACTGTTAAAAAATCTCTACAGAATTCCTTTGAAATCAGATACTGTTTCTTACACATCTGTGCAGACTATTTTCTTACATTTGTGCATCTTCTCTTCTGATGACCTAACATTTAACTCATTGAAGGTAAGAAACCCTCATATTAATCCCGAAATGTAACATCACGAATGAGGATTTCAGCTTCAAAGTTACATTTTCTTTGAAAGCTATCATTACTAGTCCATTTTATGAAGACACGCTCAATTGCACACACATTACATGCATATCGTTCAGGGAAGTGATGGATCATATTCCCTGAAAGAGGAAGTGACTTAATTGGCCTATCACGAGCCTTTACAGAGGAAAAGAGAAAAAGAGAATTCAAAGAAAGTCCTGACAGGTATTATCGTAGAGGGAACGTGAGTAAAGTACATGCTCAATACATCTTCACATCCAAAAATTTCTGCTGCACCCAGCGTTAATGACTGTTCCTTTATAAACTTTCCCACCAGGCCTGGGATGTGTACCATTCGGCCCTCCATCTTTGTTTATTCTATAAGTGTATATACTGGAGCCACTGAAAACATAATTTTCATCAGATGGAAAAAATCATCTTGTAGCCATATGTTTATTTCCATCATGCATTAGGCTGGGGCTATGGGGTTTAGGTAGGAAGATCACAGAGGTGGAACGTCGTTCTCATCACATCGATATCAAAGGCAAATACTACCAACTGATAACTTAATATCAACCTTGATTACCTGGAGGAAGTAGTGTTTGTCAGGTATTTCCGGAAAACATGAAAACACCTGTAAGATTATTTTTCTCCCTTTTTATACTAAAATCTATAAAAGGAAGCAACTAAACGTACCCCATATGTTTTTGTTTTTTGAGCAGCTCTTCACTTTTGGGTTCTATAAGATGTTCCAGAATCATCTTGTATATTCCTGGCCACAAGCCTAGAAGCAGGCATTTCTACAAGGATTCTTGGTTTCTTTTATTGGAGAACAATATTAGAAACAAATCTAGATGCTAGGTGTGCTCCTTGCTTCTTGTATTTCATTGCGTCTAGATCCTCACAATAGATGGATATATAAATTCAATATATGTGTACAACACATACATACACACACCTGTCTTTATACATCCTGCAGATAAGGCCTTTATCAGATATAAAAATTGCAAATGTTTTCTTCAGATATGTGTCATATTTTCATTCTAACCACAGTGTCTTTTGCTGAGGAAAAGTTTTTAATTTTATCATTATTTTCCTTCTTGATGCTTTTGTTGTTATATTTAAAAACTCACCACCAAACCCAAGGTCACTCAGATTTTCTCCTGTGCTTTCTTCTTGAAAATTTATAGCTTTGCATTTCACATTTAGATCTATGATCCATTTTAAGATAATTTTTTGTAAAATTTGAAGTAAATTTAGAGTAAGGTGTGAAGTATGTGATAAGGTTTGTATTTTTGCATATGTATGCCAAATGGTCCAGCACCATTTGTTGAAAGAACTATTGTATCTTCATCAAAATGCCTTTGCACCTTTGTTGAAAACCAACTGACCAATATATATGTAGGTCTAATTTTGAATGAAGGAAATAAGATGTTTTTTATTTTCATGGTCAATTTTACAGTGCAAGTCTGCTTATTTATAGGATAATGATTTTTTTTCTGTAATGTATCTTTTTCTAAGTTTCAAACATTAGAATGTGATTTTCTCTTTAATTCATATTTGCAAATAAGTTTGCCTAAAGGAAAGATGTGAGTTATCTTTTTCACATGCCACAGGTTAAGTAAATAAATAAAGGTATAAATTCCTTTAAAATCCTCTTTTACGTTGAAGTTTGTTTCTTAGAAAGCAGAATGGAAAGAAAATAATGCTTCATGAAGATTGGTTTTCTCTGCCTTCATAATGAAGTTAAACTGCATTAAAATGTATTAATATTTGGCAAGGTTTGAAAAAGACTTTTTGCTGTTGTTGCTTTTAACTCACACTAAAAATTGTGCAAGCAGAGGGCTAGACATGGGAGACTTAGTAGAAGACTAACTTTTCTTAGAGTGGACCATAACACAAACTCACAGACCACACACCTAAGAACTTCCATTTAATCACTTTCTGCAAGACCAAGAGGAAATATCATAGTTATGGTGAATACACATTTGGGTTGAAGCCAGGAATACAACACAAATTACTTCGGCTTCCAGAAGGAATATATTTCAAATATATATACCTAGATATACATACATATATATATAACCTAAATATTCATTTATAGAGAGAAGTTTTATGTATATAACTATATATATCATATATATAACTATGCATATATATATATATATATATATATATATATGCTTTCTGTCATCTTAATGGGTATGAGGTTGTAGCTTATCATGGTTTTTATTTGCATTTTCGTAATGATTAATGAGCATCTTTTCATGTGCTTATATTCCATTAGTATATCTTCTTTGGAGAAATGTCTATTCAAGTCCTTTGGCCATTTTTGAATCAGATTGTTTGGGGTTTTGTTGTTGTTGAATTTTAGGAGTTCTCTACATATTCTGTATATTCATCTCTTATCAGGTATATGATTTGCAAATTCTCCCATTTTTTGGTTGCCTTTTTATTTGTAATATTCTGGGTATATAGCCAAAATAATCAAAAGCAGTTTCTCCAAGAGCTACTTGTACACCAATGTTCATTGCACCTTTGTTCACAATAGCTAAAGATGGAAGCGACACAAGTGTCCATCAACAGATAAATGGATAAAGCAAAATGTGGTTTAAACATGCAATGGAATATTTATGATCTAGCCTTTAAAAGGCAGGAAATTCTGACACATGCTACAAGGCAGATGAATGAACCTTGAGGACATTATGTTACATGAAATAACCTAGTCACAAAAGACAAATACTGTATGAGTTCACTAACATAAGGTACCCGGAGTAGTCAAATTCCTAGAGAGAGAAAATAAAATGGTGGTTGCCAGGGTTTGGGATAGGAAGGAATGAGGAGTTATTGTTTAATGGGTATAGAGTTTCAGTTTTTCAAAATGAAGAGTTTTGGAGATGGTAGCTGGTGATGTTTGTACAACACTGAATATACTTAATAGCAATAAACTGTACACTAAAAAATAGGATGGTAAATTTTATGTTATGTGTGTTTTACCATAATAAAAATTAATCTATAACAAAAGAGGCAAGGATATACAACAGAGAAAAGACAGTCTCTTCAATAAGTGTGCTGGGGAAACTGGACAGCTATATGTAAAAGAATGAAATTAGAACACTCCCTAACACCATACACAAAAATAAACTCAAAATGCATTAAAGACCTAAATGTAAGACCGGACACTGTAAAACTCTTAGAGGAAAACATAGGAAGAACACTCTTTGACATAAATCACAGCAAGATCCTTTTTGACCCACCTCCTAGAGTAATGCAAATAAAAACAAAAATAAACAAATGGGACCTAATGTAACTTAAAAGCTTTTGCACAGCAAAGGAAACTATAAACAACATGAAAGACAACCTCAGAATGGGAGAAAATATTTGCAAACAAATCAACAGACAAAGGGTTAATCTCCAAAATATATAAACATCTCATGCAGCTCAATGTTAAAAAAAAAACAAAAACCCAATTAAAAAATGGGCAGAAGACCTAAATAGTCATTTCTCCAAAGAAGACATACAGATGGCCAAGAGGCACATGAAAAGCTGCTCAACATTACTAATTATTAGAGAAACGCAAATCAAAACTACAATGAGGTATCACCTCACACCAGTTAGGATGGGCATCATCAGAAAATCTACAAACAACAAATGCTGGAGAAGGTGTGGAGAAAAGGGAACCCTGTTGCACCGTTGGTGGGACAGCAGGGGGAAGGTGGCTCGGGAGGGCCCCATCGTCCTTGGCGGGCCCACACCCCCAAGTGTTACAGTCCGCCGGCTGTAAATTGATATGGCCACTATGGAAAACAGTATGGAGGTTCCTTAAAAAACTAAAAATACCATATGACCCAGTAATCCCACTACTGGGCATATATCCAGAGAAAACCACAATTCAAAAAGACACATGTACCCCAGTGTTCATTACAGCACTATTTACAATAGCCAAGTCATGGAAGCAACCTAAATGCCCATCAACAGAAGAATGGATAAACAAGAGGTGGTACATATATACAATGGAATAGTACTTAGCCACAAAAAGGAACGAAGTTGGTTCATTGGTAGAGAAGTGGATGGACCTAGAGACTGTCATAGAGTGAAGCAAGTCAGAAAGAAAAACAAATATTGTATATTAATGCATATATGTGGAATTCAGAAAAATGGTACAGAAGAACCGTTTGCAGGGCAGAAATAGAGACACAGATGTAGAGAACAAACGTATGGACACTAATGGGGGAAGGCAGGGGAGGGAGGGATGAATTGGGAGATTGGGATTGACATATATACACTACTATGTATAAAATAGATAACTAATAAAAACGTGCTGTAAAAAAAAAAACTAAAAAATGCACACATTTATACATATAAATACATATTCATATATAAATACATATTCATATATGAATACATACATTTAATGTTTAGCTTTTTATTTGGACTGCTTAGTTTTCTAAGAAACAAACTTACCTATAATGAATATTTCAGTTAATCTATTATAGTTGATTTTTTATTTTTTACTGTGTTCCTTTGCGTGAGTGTTTTGATCTGAGACTTAAAACAGAAATCTGGCAGTAGATACAGTTAAAGTAGGAAACCACCTGCTACTAAAGATATTGTGAATTTCTATTTTCTTTTTCTTTCACTAGTCATTCAGCCATTGTACCAGAGAGTTATGACGTGGACTATTAATGTTGCCAAGAACTTCATCATCAAGTGGGTTACATGCAGAAGAGAAGGTGTTTTGTAACCCTATGATACCACTGAATACGTTTAAAATGTCAAATTTTTTAAAATAAAGCGCACTTGGGCAGGAGGAAGTCTCCCCTATGCTTCTGGGCATACACCTGGCCACAGGTGGAGTCTGGGTCCACGGAGCCGTAGCCACATTTCCACTCCTCACCCCACTCACCCTCTCCCCACCCGCCCCACCCCCGTCCCCAGGCCAGCCCCCCAGCCCCTCCCTGCCCCGCCCCTCCGCCCGCTCTGCCCTCCCTCCCCGCGCCTCCCCGCCGTGACCTAGAGCGCAGGGCTCCACGCGCTCCCTGCACCGTTTCCAGTCAACCCAGGTGGCGAGGCCAGCTGGCCACGCAATGCTGTCTCTCTTGCTGTTCCTCTCAGGGCTGGGCCTGCTGACCTCCACGGGCCATCGTAAGTGAGGACCCTGCTGGATAGGAGGGTGGCCCGTCGTCGCAGGGTCCCTTGGCGCGGGGGGCGTCGCCCTCCTTGCTGCAGAAGCCCAGGCCGGGCTGGGGAGAGTCCGGCGTCAGGTCCGAGCCCAACCAGTTTCAGGGTCTTGGCAGGCCCGCTGGTCGGAGGGCTCTGAGCAGGACTGAGATAGTTGTCCCTCACTCCGGGACCCTGCACCGCAAGAGGGGGCGCCTGTCTTCCAGGGAGGTGGGGGGAGGAGGGAGCCTGGATGGGGTCCTGGGAGCAGCCCTTCTTCACCTACCCAGGGCTGAGGTCAACCAGCCCCGAGGGTCTGTGGACGGTGGTGGGGTAGTAACACTCCCGCTTCTAGAGGAACCTCTTCCTGGAACCCTGCGCAGTATGATTGTGTGTGTGTGAGTGCGCGTGTGTGTGTGTGCGTGCATGTGTGCGCGCGCATGCCCGCTGGGGCTCGGAAGATCCACGAGTGATGTGATAGGAGAGGACAAGTAAGAGAAGGATAAGGATGCTGCCGTGCGCTGGGGAACGGTTACACCTGTTTTGCTCACTGTAGATTCTGAAATATCACTTATACAAATTACAGTGCCACAGGTGACTGGGACAAAGGTCTCAGAAACTCCGGTCATTAAGAAATTATTCTTTGTGTTTTATGGGTATTTTGTTCTTTCTGGACTACATGGCCCAAATCAGTTCATACATATCATTTGTAAAGTTATTTTTGTGTTTATATTTATTTTGTTAAATAGCCATTTTGTCTGAATAAGAGCAAATGTTTTAATATTTTATTTTTTTCATTATGTCACAATCAATACATAAACATTGTAATGTACATAAACATACATACACAAATATTTTTAAATTACAGACTCAGGAAAAAAAAATAATTGACCAAGTTTCTATTTCACAAAAAGTCTTCTGGACCTTTTATCTCTAAAAAAATAGTTTTAATATTTATTCTTATATTAGTGAGATCATACTAATACATTCAATTCTTGTGATAACTGTTCTATAAAGCCCCAAACGCTGAATTAGCTATTGCGGAATCAACATTTCAAGGGGAAATAGGTACGTATCTCGTAGAGATTGCGATCTTAAATCCTGCAAACATCTCATCCTGGAAGATTCTATTTTCCCTAATTTACAAAGTGAAAAGTGACTTGCCTGGGGCCATGTCAGCAATAGGTACCATAGCTGAGATTCCAACACCCTGCAACTGTCCTCAGAACCCAAGCTTCTTCAATACAGTGCCAACTCCATCTTCTGGTCATCTCTGCAGCAGAGCTGCAATAAGAAGGCAGAGTATATCAGCTGTTCAGCCTCAGCTGGGAGTGTGAGCCTTGTTACAAATGAATTTTTGGCCATTTGTTCGTAAACTCAAATGATCCAAAAAGAGCTACAAATATTGATTTAGGGGCTAACAAATAAATCTGAGCAAATAGGCAAATTTGCAGATATGGAATAATTGAATAATGATGATTGACTATATTTTGTAACATAATTTAAAAATAAATATAAACTCAATAAGATTTGAAAGGTAATATATACACCAGCAATTTTTTTTTTTTTTGCAGATTGTATTGTTATTTAGATTGAAAGCTTGAGACATTTTGTTACTGAACACAAGTTCCTGTGCCCAACGCACAGTGAGGCCAAACAAACCAAAACGTAGGAGTTTGGAGCAGAGAAAAGTTTATTGCGGGGCCATGTAGGGAGACAGGTGGCTCCTGCTCCCAAAAACCCTGAACTCCTCCAAGGGTTTCAGCAAAGCACTTTTAAAGGCAAGATGAAGGAGGGGTGAGGTTGGTTGTTACAAACCTCTGCAGCTGTCCACGTAGGTCAGGTTACATGCTCCTGTAACCCTCCAACAGAACAAATACTATTCTCTGTTCTGCAACTTTTTATCTCCATATGAATAGACTCTTAAAGGTCAGAGCCTTGAAAATAGGCCCTCCTGTATATTTCAGGCTACAGGCAACATTCTTTACAAAAAGGCACAGAGCCAGCATAACTAAGCACAGGCAACAGAGCACCAGGCTAAAGTAAGAAACAGACCTAATACAGAGTGAGATTGGTTCTTCCCTGTTACAATTTTACATACAAATTCTCAGGATTAATTAGAAAGTTTAACAAAGGATAACTGGGCGCTGAAAAATGGATTAGTATGTGGAATAATGATGAAAAAGCTGCAAGGTGTTGAGGGAGGTGATGCTTCCAAGTCTCCATCACACACTAGCTCGGTGCCAAAATAGTTCTTCAGTTTCCTTAACTGTAAAATGGGTATAATAGAACCATACCTCGCTCATAAGTATATTGTGAGACTTTGAGGTAATTTAAAGAGTGCTTAGCCATAATGCAAAGAACATATTTTTTACATTTCATTTTTACCAAGAAGGTACAGGTATATTTTGTTGTTGAAACAGATTTCTGCCTCAAATAATGGTATACGGTGGTATCATTATGTGATATGCAGAATGTGGAAGGCAAACTCTACATTTTTACTCTCAAACAATAGGATAAAGGAAGGGAAGGATACTGTGGAGCCCTACATCAAGGACACCCTACATCAAGGACACAGGACAAAAATCCCGGAATTAACGGAGCCCCCATAGCAACTGTTGCCATGGGCTCTCCTAATCTATACCGGACAGCCTTCTCCCCGACTCCATATTAGGCAAAATAATCACCATGCAGTAACCTTGAAGCATCCTGACCAATCACCTAATGCCATCCTGCCAGCAGGAATTTTCTTTGTCTTGAGACTATAAAAGTTGGCTACTAGCCCACAAAGGGGGTCGGCTCTCCGTGGTCTATCAGGAAGTGGGCCCGCTGGATTCGCAGCGCCCCTCACTAACTCTGCTCTTTGCTCTCAATAAACTCACTCTTTTCTAAAATACTTCGTGTCCAGAAATTCTTCTTCCAACCCGCGCTCAGACCACGACATTTTGGTGGCCCGTACGGGGAATATCTCCGGGGGGATCTCCTCCCCCGACCTCCTCTCCTCATTTCTTGGGACCCTCTGTGAACAGGCAAGCTGCCGGGGAAGCAACAGAGGACTCTGGCCACACACACACATACCCTGGTGTGTTCCGAAGGCTCCATGGCTCTCTTTGCCCCAGTAACTGCCGCCCAGAACGGGTGAGGGTCCCTCTGTCTTCCTCCTGGCCGCAGACTGGGCCGATTGGTATCGTGCGGGCACGGGTCAGGCATTTAAAAGCCATCAGGGCGCCTGCCGCTTGAAGACTCCCGTGAAGGATAAGGGGGTCACGGAACGAACCAGGCTGTTAGAGCGTCTGCCCCCAGCAAGGCAACTTCCGAGCACCGTGAGGCACACACTGGTTCATGCAGAACGCTGAGCCCCCTCCCTTGGCCGCCGCCTTCCCGGCAGGACTACGAGGCCGATTCCTCAGCCTGTCTTTGTTGCTTTCACCTTTTTCTCCGTCCGGATTGACTTACAGGAGCCTAAGTGTTGCCTCTGAGCCATCCCAGGAGTGCCTTTCACGTTTCAGGGCATCGCCAAGCGGTGAGTCACCCGGTAGTTCCCGGGAATCTCTTTTCTTGCTTCCCCTGCCCGAGTCGCATGGTGCCTCAGTCGCACGGTCGGTGCCTCAGTCGCACGCTCAGGGTCACCTCTCACGGTCAGACGCGATTGTTGGGACGGTCGGCCCATTTTGTGCCTTAGTCGCAATGAGAGATCACTGGGACAAAGGGGACGCCTCTCTGTCAGCCGGTGACTCTCAGTGCGCCCTTTCTACGGCGTACAGGCAAAGAATGGGTTCTGGATCGTCTCGGGAGCCTCCCTCGGACTCACCCCTCGGCTGTATCCTCAGGAACTGGGAAAATTTGACCCTGAAAATCTCAAAAAGAAGAGGCTCATTTCCTTTTGTAACACGGCTTGGCCCCAGTATAAACTGAGGAACCGAGAACAATGGCCTCTTAGGCACACTAAATTGTAACACGATCCTCCAACTTGATCTCTTTTGCCGGAAACAAGGAAAGGACTCAGAGGTTCCTTAAGTCCAGACCTTTATGGCCCTTAGTCAGAATCCGGAGCTGAGGGACTCATGCCGCATGTGTCTTTCTGTTGCCACCTTATCCTCCAAACCTGCTCTGTCTCCCTCTCTATCAGATCTCCTAGGCGACCCTCTACTCGACCTTTCCTGTCCTCCACCCCATGAACCCCCTGCTTCAGCCCGCGACCCCACCTCAACCCACAGCTCCCCAACAGGTACCCCCTTATCAGGGCAAAGGCCCCCCTCCCCTCCCCACACAAGATCGAGGACTGCCCAACGCCAGGAAGTAGCAAATGGAAACATGGGCACTATTAGAGTCCATGTTCCCTTCCCCATGTCTGATGTTTCCCAAATTCAAAACAAGTTAGGTTCCTTCAGTCAGGATGGCCACAATATTCTTTAGACTCCAGAGAAAATTGGTTAAGATAAAAAATTTTTTGAAATTGCAAAACTGGTTCTTTTTGCATATGCAATTAGAGAGAGCTAGCTTGTTGAAATATCTTTTTCAGAATTCTGACCGTGAGAGAACAAAAATATGCCTAGGAGAAGGCTTGAAGTTAACTCTTAACCATGTCCTTGAGCTACAAACACAGCCCCCTTTGCCTGAGACTT